CCGGCCGAGCCACCACCCACACCGCCACGGGGAGCCAGCCATTGAAAGAAAACAACACACACGGCTTGAGTTCACGGGGAGCGCGCGCTGGAGGGCAGGGGCTCTGGGGGGGCCTTACTGTGTACAGAGCATCCCACATCCACTCTGCCCTGGGACCCTGGCACCCCGTATTCCCAGGGGTTACCCCACAACCACCTCTCCCTGGATCACACACTGCGATTCCCTCCCATCTGCCCCACGAGAGGCCACACCAGCAGGATGGATGGATGGATGGATGGATGGATGGATGGATGGATGGATGGATGGATGGATGGATGGATGGATGGATGGATGGATGGATGGATGGATGGATGGATGGATGGATGGATGGATGGATGGATGGATGGATGGATGGATGGATGGATGGATGGATGGATGGATGGATGGATGACACTTCCCCTAGACACATCAAAAGCTGGGACAGATGGACGGATGGGAGGGAGAAGAGCATTCCCCCCCAAGGGGGTTACCTGCTCCACTGTGCCCCCCAGAGGGCAGGGAGGGGCACGTTCACCTCCTCTCCATACCCGTAAGAGTCAGCACGGTACTCACAGTACCCCACATCCCACCCCTGTCCTGGGAGCCGAGGGCGGGGGGAGGATGGAGGGAAGGTGGAAAAGGAGAAGGAAAACATCGTCACGGAAGCCCACACTGGAGAGGAGGGTCAGGGGCTGGACCACGGGATGTGGGTCTGTGTGCTCCCCCCGCCCCAGTTCTCCCCTTTCCCCGGCCCCCTTTGCACCTTCCCCGGGCCTCTCCCTCAATGCACCCCCCAGGGCAGGGATCAGGGACGTGCAGAACAAGCGTCCTGCCACCTGCCACACACCCCAGCAGCCAGCCTGGAGAAGGCGCAAGGCATGCTGGGAAGGTGAGCGCATGCTGAGCAGGGCATGCTGGGAAGGCGAGGGCAGGACGAGAAGGAGCAGGGCATGCTGGGAAGGCGAGGGCGGGACGAGAAGGAGCAGGGCATGCTGGGAAGGCGAGGGCGGAACGAGAAGGAGCAGGGCATGCTGGGAAGGCGAGGGCGGGCCGAGAAGGAGCAGGGCATGCTGGGAAGGCGAGGGCGGGACGAGAAGGAGCAGGGCATGTTGGGAAGGGACGAGAAGGAGCAGGGCATGCTGGGAAGGCGAGGGCAGGACGAGAAGGAGCAGGGCATGCTGGGAAGGCGAGGGCAGGACGAGAAGGAGCAGGGCATGCTGGGAAGGCGAGGGCAGGACGAGAAGGAGCAGGGCATGCTGGGAAGGCGAGGGCAGGACGAGAAGGAGCAGGGCATGCTGGGAAGGCGAGGGCAGGACGAGAAGGAGCAGGGCATGCTGGGAAGGCGAGGGCAGGACGAGAAGGAGCAGGGCATGCTGGGAAGGCGAGGGCAGGCCCAGAAGGAGCAGGGCATGCTGGGAAGGTGAAGGCGGGACGAGAAGGAGCAGGGCATGCTGGGAAGGCGAGGGC